TGGGTGTGGTTCGTACGCCTCCTCTTGGTTGCTTCGGAATCAGGGTTTTTGGCCAACTTCCCTAGGTGAACTGCCAGTGGTTCACCAACCCGGTTATAGCCCCGGATATCGGCTTTTCGTCCTCACACCTACACCTTCGTGGGAAACATTTTCGCCACGAGAAGGCAGTGAGTAGGACTTCCTCAGCAGAGGCTATTTGAGATGCTTGGTCGTATGGAAGCATTTCGCGAGGTGCAAGAGACGGGTGACCAACCGCAACCCTAGACACCCACCCCTGACCATACTGAGGATTTTGGAGGCTACGGCAGCAGATGAAGTGAAGTGGAGGTCCATTTATTTTGATTGAATAATCGTTCATCATTTTAACGCCTTATACGTCAATCTGAGCCGAACTTTCAACCTGGTGAACCAGGAGGTTGGACATTGTCTAACCCCACACCTTCCACTCTCCAGGCGTGAGTAATATTCGGCTTAACAAAAGCCATTGTTAGGACGGAGCGCATAGAATCCGTCCTGCCACGCATCGACCCGCGTCACATCACAAGTGCGCTCTTGACGCCCAAGCCGAATCAACTCCTGATTGGATGACTAAGGCGAATCAAATAGCTGTCGTCCGAACGATCAACATGAGTGTCAAGGTCGCGATCTGATTGGCGCGTCATCACGTCTTTTCTTGTACGCCCAATTTTATCACACATATTTGCCTGTTTTTTTAATGATCAACAATATACTCTGACTGTCGTTTTTCGGCCGTGTTTTTTCTCCAATTGGGGGGGGGGGGGCTAAACAAGAGGCGCGCGTGTCGATCATTCGTTTTGGCATAGGACATAACAGTCATCCTGTGTAGCTCCTTGGGTCACATAGGTGCACAAGCCATCACACCACGTCAAGGTGCAGTTTCATTGTGGAGTCACGTTTGAACGGACCTTCGTCCTCTCTCCGTACACCATCCGTATGTGGTTCGCATTACAAATAACTTATTTCCCACTTTCGTTCGAGTTCAAGCTGCGCTAAAACAAATCAGGGCGTAATAATGTTTATGCGGTCAGAAAGTTCTTTTATATGCTTGTGCGTGGAATACTGCACTCAAAGAAACATTTTCTTGGGTGATTCACAACCAGTTAGCCAAACCCTAACCCGCAAGGCCGCGGGGCGGTGTATGAAAACCGCAGTTAATTGCTGGCCGGTGTCCAGTCTATCGGATCATACTCACCCAATACTCAATTGAGCCAATGACCGTTGTCACAGCCGGGAAGGTGTGGGTGTTGGTGCCTGCTACGCGTCTTCTTAAATGGTTTGAAGTCATCATTGTTGGTCAACTCCCATGGATGATCTGCCAGCAATTCACGGACCCAGTTATAGCCCCGGGTTTTTGCGTTCCATCTTTTCATTTTGGTGGGAAACACCTCAGCTACGGGAAGACAGTGAGTAGGGCCTCCTCGGCAGAGACTGTTTGGGACGCTTGGCCTTATAAGAGCATTTGAATAGGTGCAAGGGAAGGATTAACAGCCATAATCCGAGACACCGAGTTCGGACTGCACTGAGGCCTTCGGAGGCTCTAACTGGTCATGCTTCCTTTCCACCTCCCAAAGGGCTTCTGCATGACCCAACGCCTCAAATGACCGCTACTGACGAAACCCTCCTACTCAATGTGTTTATGTGGTAGGCCAAAATGAGATAACTAGAAGCTAACACCCTCAGGATGTAACTGGGTCAGTAAGCCACATATAGTTGGTGTGAATGACAAATAACACCGGATTCCGTACCAAATACGAATAGATGTACGAACTACAAC